ATCCTCAGCAACCATCTTTCAAGACCTCCCGGGTCTTTCTCCTCCACCGCACCATTTTTTTTCAAATGTGGATTTTAAATGAGGAATTTTTAAATTTAAATTTTAAATTTTTCCATGCGCATGTTTCTTATCTGTCCTTTTAAAGGGATGGGTCTTTTAATGGAAGTCTTTTAACTGGCATTGTGTGTCTGCTCATTGTTGGTGCCTCGATCTGTGGGGAGAGGCAGGTAAGAAATAATAATAATAATAATAATAATAATAATAATAATAATAATAATAATTTGTTATTTCTTGCCTGCTTGTCCCCATGGATCAAGGTGGGGAACAGCAATTAACAAACAAAAACAACAACAATTAACAGACAAACAACATCAGTTAAAAGACATCCACTAAAACGCACATTATTATTAGCCTCAGAGGATGTCAATGGCAAACCCTTTCTGAAGAAACTTGCCAAGAAAGTTCTACCTATAAGTTGGAAATGACTTGAAGGTACAACAACAAACAACAACAACAACAACAACAAGCCAATTTTTTTTTTTTTTTTTTTGGGATTACAACTCCCAGAATCCCAGTGGCCATGTTGGCTGTAGTATTCTGGGACCTGAAGTCCAGAAAAGTAAATTTTTGGATTTCCAGCCCCGATGGAGAGCACCTGTACTCTCTGTGTCTGTTTCTGCCCTATTAGCAAACATTGCACCAGGCTCTTAATTCTCTTTTTGTCCATTTCCACAGCAACAAAGCTGCAAGAGGCTGAGCGTTTGGGGATTAGGCAAAGAGGAGACAGCGTTTGCAGAGAAATATACCGAAAGGTAGATGAGCAACAGAGAGATTAAAGAAACCGGAGCCAAGAACATGGAGCAACATGTCTTCTGTGTCAGATTTTGGGCTTACATTCAATAGGAGCAAACTTTTGTTGTGCCTTCAAAAGATTTCCAACCTTTGGCAATGCTAAGGTTTTCTTGGCAAGTTTCTTCAGAGGGGGTTTGCCATGGCCATCCTCTGAGGCTGAGAGTATGTGACTTGCCCAAGGTCACCCAGTGCTTTTCCATGGCCAAGCAGGATTCGAACCCAATGCTCAGACCACTATACAAGGGCTTGGAGTAGATGAATCCTAGGTTCCCTTCCCATTCTACGACTCTGATTCATTTTGGACGACTGGTGCTCCTAAAAAAGTCAGATTAATGAGCATTTCAATTGTGGGTTCATTACTATCCCATTAATTATTCTGACCCAGAAATTCAATTCACTGCATTATCAACTTTTCTATATATATATATATATATATATTTCAATTAATTTAAAAATATAATTATAACTCGGTTTACCAATGCAAAGTTGAGCATGATTAAAGGAACAGAAAGGATCTCATTGCTAAGTAGAACAGAAATTCCTGCAAATCCCAGATTGTTCCCATTTCTAAGAGGCATTCAGAAATGCTGCGTTTATATATTTCAGCAACCTGTTTTTTTGACACTCATCTTAAATTTCATCATTGACCGAAATTAAGAAAAGTATGGAGAGAAGGAGAAGCTAAGGCAGCACTGCTGTTTCTGGAGATTTCCAGCAGATGGAGGCAAAGCTGTCTAGATTGAATTTCTTGCAGAAAGTCCAGAGTTGGGAGTAAATGCAGAATTGATCCTGTTTAGCTGATGAGAAGTTCACATGTTTTGTGGGAGCTGTCCACCATGCAAAGATCTCTCAGTGGCTTAAGCTGCCTTTTACATCTGTTGCTTTATAAGTAATAAATAATACATTTCAGAACTACAACTCAGGCTTGGAAATTGACTTTCCCCTCCGGTCAGTGTCAGGAGGGAGAATCAAAGTTGTCGAAAGAGAATCAAGTCATGGAGTTGGAAGGAAACGTAGGAACCATCTAGTACATCCCCTTGTGAAAGCCAGCATGGCGTACGGGTTTGAACATTGGACTAGGACACTGCGGAGCAGGGTTCGAATCCTCACTCGATCATGGAAAGCCACTGGGTGCCCTTGGACAAGTCACACTCTCTCAGCCTCAGTGGAAGACCATGTCAAACTCCCTCTTAGAAATGAGAACAATGTGGGATCTGCAGGAATTTCTGTTCTATCTTAGCAACAAGATCCTTTTTGTTCCTTTCTTTATTCATGCTCAACTTTGCATTGGTAAACTAAGTTATAATCATATTTTTAATTAATTGAAAAATGGTTTTTTTTGAAAAGCTGATAATGCAGTGAATTGAATTTCTGGGTCAGAATAATTAATGGGATA